CAGGCTAAGAGATCATGGTTACCATCGGGAGCTGAAGAGAAAGGCAATGCCTCCATGAAACAACTCAGCACTCACTTCTGAAAGCTCCTTTCGGACACAAACAAGGGCACATCCCTTTCTGTTATGTAAGGGGCACAGCAGCTATGCTCTTCAGGGAGAGTCTTTACCACCTCAGGTGCTGGTCAAGGGGGCGAAGCAGCTGGAAATGGTAGTTGGGCCTCAGACGAAATAGCTGGAAGGCAGGACTGTCCCCTCATTGTGTTTATTAGTTTTTCATTTCCCATTCCAAAGAGATGGGGCAGGAGGGATGTTCCCCGGAGGGCACAGCCTGGTTATGCAACTCAGCAGCAATGAGTTAGCACAGCCTGAATGATCACAGATGGCAAACACAGACATTTTGGGAGTGGGGTATATGAATGCTGGGTGATGGTATCTTTATTTATTTATGTGGAGCATTTCTATCCCATCTTTCTCACCTCCAAAGAGGGACTCAGGATGACTACCAACAGGCACCATTTGGTGCTGAGCAATAAAACAATTATAAATACATGAAAACAGTTCGCTGTTTCACGTCATCTTCCAAATCAATCCATTGCCATCAGCTAAAAACAGTCCATTAAATCTATTCTGCAAAAAGTCTGACCTCATTAGGGAAGGAGTTCCACAGCCGAGGGGCCACCACCGAGAAGGCCCTGTCTCTCGTTCCCACCAAACGTGACTGCGATGGCAGCGGGACCGAGAGCTGGGCCTCTTCAGATGATCTTAAGGTTCTTGGTGGTTCGTAGAGGGAGAGGACAGGTAAGCTACCAAACCCCCCGAAAGTAGGAAAGCCACCACTGATCAGCATTCCCATATATCCCGCTCCCTCTGACAGTCTTTCAAGCAGTCTGAGACACAGCTGTAATTACTTCAAAGACTGATTCAAAGATGAAACCACAAGGAAGCTTTGAACTTGTATTCTTACTCATTTGCTTATAGAAGTAACAGTCTCAATTGCTTTACTTCCTATGCATGAAAGGCATTGTCTCACAAAGACACTTGCCTCTTAATGTTGGGAAGTAGTCCAAGTGAAGGCATGCATCTAAAGGTGATATGGCACCAGCATGGAGGGATATGTTTAGGTCAAAGCAAACAATTCAAGCTATGCCTTAAAGAGAGGGTTTGGGGGTAAGCATCTTTAAATGGATCCTCTTCACAAAAAAGGTAAAATACAATTTAGCTGACTTGGATATGTCATGTTTGATGCACAGTTCAGAGTTCTTCATGGGACTCATATTTCTTTTTACTGCATTATAGCAGCATTCTCTTTAACAATTTATTTCAGGAAAGGTTTTGTAGCTTGACCAGCCAGCTATGCTACCTGAAAACCATGAAGGACACCCAAAGCAATGTGTTCCTTCTTGCAATGGAAGGGTTTGACATATTTAACACTAAACACAGGTATTACCGCAATATACAATAGGCAAGCAAAAGTCCCAAGTCTAAGACTCACACTAGCCAGAAAACCTGATTACTGTTGAATGCAGAAACATCTGGGTTAAATATGTTTCATGCTTTCATACCAAATAAATGATTGTATGCAAGTTTTCTTTAGAACAGCAACTATTGAATAAGGGTTTTGAAAAGGTAACAGACAGTACTAGGCAATAATCCACAAAACAATGTTATCCAAGTGCATGCTGAACAACGGAAAGAACAACACACCATTTTTATGTAACCTCTGGAATCCAAGCTGAAGGGCAGTGAAGTCCCAAAAGCTGCAGGAAATGTGGAGGTGGAGCTGCCAGGAGCAGGAATAGGGAGAACATGCATTATACATACAAGAATTGCTCTTGGAAAAAGAGCTTAACAGTTGGGGCCTTATTGCAAGCCTGCTCAAATTATGACCCATCAAGCCACATGCAGTTCACCACCAATGTAGCATGTGCTTGAATGCTTGATAATTGACAATTTCCAGCCTTGGAACCAATATTACTGAAACTTTTGTGTACCATTCTCTATGTGCGGTGTCTGAAATTCAGTATAAACTATACAGCTACAGGCCTGTCCTAAGAATAAAATATCCACCCTTGCTTCCTCTCCACCTTCAGATATCCAAATTCACATCATTGTGTACCAAGAGTCACCTTTCTTGCAAAACTTCAAAACCTCTTCTCCCCCACTTTGATTTGCATCCTGCAATACTGGCTCCAGTCCCTTTTATTCTAGTAAACGGATCGCTTCCCTTGCCATCCGCTGACTCTCAAAAATATGGCTATTTTCCATCATTTCAAGCCAAGTTCTCTGACTCTGCATATTCTTGGTCATGGACCATATACAGCTTTGCAAATGGTTTTAAAGTCTACCCATTCCCTGAAATGTGTGTTTTGTTGGCAATGCTGGAACAGAAACAAGGTGCCCTTTGTCTCCACTTCAAATGTTAAAAGATGGTAGGGAAGATTGAGAGAATCAAATTCACTTACTGACTCCTAGTGACAAACTAGAACAGAGTGAGAATCATGAAATCCTTCAGATGATGTTGAACTGTAAGACCCAACCAAGATAGCCAATGGTGAGGGGTGCTTGGAACTGCAGTCCAGCAACATCTGGAGGGCTGGATGAATCACACCTTGAGCTAGGGCAGTGGTTCTCAACCTGTGGGTCCCCAGATGTTTTAGCCTTCAACTCCCAGAAATCCTAACAACTGGTAAACTGGCTGGGATTTCTGGGAGTTGTAGGCCAAAACACCTGGGGACCCACAGGTTGAGAAGCATTGAGCTAGGGGGTCAGTTAGCACTTCTAGAGCAGGGGGAGAAAACTGACCACTATGTGCATGCCCTCCACAGAATGTTGTGTCCTATTCAGCTCTGGAGGAGACAAAACAAGGTGAACAACATTCCATCCTAGTGAATCCAGGAAACAGGGAAGCCCTTGTTTGGAGGAAAAAGGCCTCTGGAAAGTCATTGCTTAGCTTGCATCATGGATAATCTATAGCTAGAGAGGGTTGGAAGTGCAGGTGTTGGAGCTTTTTACCTGAAGAGAAACTAAGAAGAATTGTCAGCAGGTCTTGTGTCCCCCCCTTTTAGCTTAAAATGACTGAATTCAGTAATATGAAACCCAAATGCTGCTAATGGACTGAATTAGGGAAGCCTGAAACTTTTTGTTGTTGTCATTTAATGCATTTAGATTACTTACAGAAATAATTTCCACTTTTCTGGAACGCAAAGGCAGCCTGAATAGTGAACGCATTATGTAAAAGGCATAGAAGTAAAACGGTAAGAGAAATTCCTGCTTGCCATAGATGCAGGCAAAACGTCAGGAGAAATGCCTCTAGAACATGGCCATATAGCCCGAAAAAACCCACAAGAACTGAATTCCTGCTTTGTGAAAGAGCCTCAGCAGATCAGACCAAAAGTCCAGCTAATCTAACATTTGGTTTCCCACAATGGATGATGTGATACTTTCAGGAAACTAGAAATCAGTTGCCCAAGCAAATGGGCTCCGTGGCATCCAATCTCGATATTCAGAATTCCACTTTGCCATTAATAGTTAATAGAGCATAATACCAAGAAGGGCTAACACTCCCTTGTAACTGCTGAGCCTATATATGTGGTTTCACCTACCTACACCTGGACGCAAAATGGTCTCTCTGAATTTTCTATGTCTTCTAGAAAATTCTATTATATATTTTACCCTGAAGTTAACATTGAGTTGTGTTGGAAGACCTAGCAAATTCCTAGAGAGGATACATACTCAAGACTTTAGACCACTAGGGAGCTTTCCTCACCTCGACTTATTTCATCCACAAGATCCACAAATATGCTTACTAGTGCTTTGTCAACAGCAAGCATCATTGTTAACCTAATAAATGCAGTGTCAGGAAGTACTGTTGTACTTCACCTGAGATTACAGAAGAAGGGAGAACTCTTCCTGATAACAGGGAGAGCCTTGGAGACTTCTGGAAAGGATCCAGACATTCCTCTTGCCTTTGGAGAATTTTTACAACACTGCAAGGAACAGGGAGGCTTGAGCTAGCCTGTCCTTCACTGCCCGGCTCAGCACCTGGGAGGAAGGGTTCTTCACTCCCATCATAATTCTTCACTCCAGGTTGATGTCAGGCAGGACTCTGCCCCTTCATCTGCTCTGGACATTTTGTCTAGGAAGGGGTTTCAAAAGAAAGTGCGGTTTCAGTTGTTTTACATTACGACATACATAGGGAGGAAAAGTTTTTGTGTTAAAGGCACCCTACTCAATAGGGCAAGGAAGAGGGGGAGTCCTCAAATTCTTCTTCCAGACCTCAAATTATGACACTGTAGGATAAAAGGAAAGAGTGCCACAACATAATTGGGCGAACAAAGGGCAGCTCGCTGTTTTCACAGCAGGAGGGAAGTATGCCTTCCCTTCACAGCTACAGAGGTTGCATGGGTTCAAGTCTTTTTAGCCCACTAAAAGCTTCCCCAACTAATTCTGCAGGTTTTTTTTTTAAATGTACAGGGGGCTCTCAACATCTTACAAGACAAATTCTCCATTCTCTCTCATACAGAGAAGGAATGAGTCCTCTGCAATCATGCATGTTATAATCTGGATACAACATTAAAAAAAGAATGCTTTGTGCATCATAAATAATACTTTTGATCATGTGCAAAGGTAAGCAACTATATCTTCTACAAATCTGGTTGCTACTACTTGCTCATGCATCAGAGACACTTTTTATATAATGGTTTGTTCCTCAGTCTCAGTGAGTATGTGCAGGGTAGTTTATTTGGCTACAAAGGAAGGGCACAAACCGTTCTCATGGCATCTGAGGAAGTGTGAAACTATAGATTCTGTTCTACAGCTTTCCAAAGGCCTTTCATTTAAAGGAAAAATTAGTCAGGGCAGATGAAAAGCACACAAAAGGAAACAACACACTGGAATGTGAGTAATGCAGATAGCTCCAAGCTGCTGACACTTATAAGGTTCCCACCACATTTTGCAACCACTAGAAGTAAATAGATAAAACAGCCCTATAGAACACTTACCCTAGTTTTCAAAGCACGCCGACGCTGTCTGACCTGAGTTTAAGCAGCACACGTAACCTGGTCCATTCTGGATTCAAGCTCAAAGGCATCGGGTCGGTCCTGTGGGTTAGCAGCCAACATGTCTTTCAAGAGCTGCTTGATCCCCTCAGACATAGAAGTCCTGCGTTTCTGGGGGATGTGCAATTCCATCTTTGGGTTTTCTAGCAGCGCCTCCCCGACGGGTACAATCTCAGTCCCCTGTTTGATGTAGGTCCCCAGCAGCTCTTTCTTGGTCTCGGCATCAATAAATGTTATCCTCTCGATCATTGCCCAGATAATGATGCCCAGGGCAAAGATGTCTGCCTTGGCAGTGTAGTGTCCCTCCCAGACCTCAGGAGCCATGTAGAAGTCTGAGCCACAAGCGGATGACAGCCAGTACTTGTTCACATTCACATTTTTGTTATCATTCCCCCCATCTTTGCCTCGAGCAGTCAAGCCAGCACAAACTTTGCTGAGCCCAAAGTCCGCCACCTTGAGAATTGGAGCGCCCGATTTCTCTGTGATCAGGATGTTGTCTGGCTTCAGGTCCCTGTGCACAATGTGGTTCTTGTGCAGAAAGGCAATGGCACTCGTCAGCTGGAGCATAAAACTCTTATTGGTGGCAGGGTCCGGTCTACGCGAAAGAATGTATTGATTCAGGTCTCCTCCTTCGCAGTACTCCATGACAAACCAGAGATAACAAGGTTCTTCAGCATAGCCCAGGATCCTTTCACCTTGCCAGAGGGAGAAAGAAAGAGAAATGGATTACTACACAGGCAAAATTGCAGGGTTATCTCAGCTTAATTAGTACCTGTGGGAGCAGACATCTTGAGGGAAAATGCCTAGCACCCTCTTCATGGTCAATTACGCACAAAACTGTACTGGCTATTTTTCTGACACCGTAAGGGAGCGGGGCTTGAAAGGTATTGACTGAACATTAGAAGCTAACAGGTAGGATTCCTGCCTGAACATTATGCTTCTTTGAATATTACCCAAGGACAAAGGCATGATATAAAATCAAAATAGGCTGTTCAGAACTCTATGTAGGAAAGTATTCAATAATACTCAGATACACAGGCTCAATATCTCTTATCTTGAATTTCAAATCCAAAATCCTATAAAATTCAAAACTATTCAGAGGTGGTTGAAATGTTGACACCTTTGCTCTCTACTGATTCAGAGTACACATCATGCACAAAATTATTTAGAGGTGTATAAAGTATATATGAGTCGTAACTGAATTTTGTCTTCTGGTAACATTTTGGATAAGACAATCAATCTGTAGGAGTGTGATTTCAGTTTTCTCTCCTATTGTTTAGCAATTATCTGCTAGACACTAGCTCCCAATTCATGATTTTCTCTCCATACATAAGCATCACATAAGCAATGGCTGGGTGATGGTGTGGAATGGGATGGGTGAGAAGACGGAGATTCATTGGGAAAAGGTCCCTGTCAGCTATTTGGCAGAAACAGCAGCACTGCAAAACTGGCAGTTTGAAATCCAATGGCACATAGCAATCACCAGCAAACACTCTAGCAGTAGGATTTCACAGCTGGGTATTTAATAAACTCAGGTGACACAGATTCCAGTAAGTTAGAACTCATCAGATGGCTTTGCTCAAGTGTAGAAATTGAAAGGAGTTTGAAATCTTATAAAAGGCTGCAAAAAACAACAAACCACAACCACGAGGGCAGACAAGAAAACTTGTTCTGAAGTCCTATAGGACAAGTATCAAATGTATTACGAATACCCCCAAAGATAATAATAAAAATCACTACAATGTTGTGTTCTCAGTGATTGGACAGATAGTACTTTCCCAGCATGTCTAATTGGCCAGGCAAGTGTGTATTGAAAAAGATGCTCATTTAAGTATTGAGGTCTCAAAAGACTTGGTGGGAAGCAGTTCTTTAATTTTTCATTAAAGCATCCATTTCAAGCATCCAAAAGCATTTCCATACATGCTAGGGAGCAGGAGACTCTCTTGTGCTACATCTGAACCAACTTTTACACCAGTGGTGCAGAAGCCAGTACGTTGCCCAAAACCAACAAACCAACCAACCAAAAAACAAAAAAAAAAGTTAAATTATAATTGAAAACAACATACACATTTTGAATTTAGACAGGAAACCTCTTTGGCATAATTGCTAAAAAGAAATATATAGAAGGCAAGTTCAACTAGGAACTTCAGTGCTCAAGCTGCAGCATGCCAGGCATTGTGGTTACAAATGTGCCTAATCTAACCTATTCCCATCATGCTGCCTTATTGCATGCATGTCCATAGGCTGGTCTGTTTCCTGGGGTGTTGCAATGCAGTGCTGCCACAGTTGCACAACGGAGTAACAGGAAAGATGGCAACTACTACCTGGCAGGTATTCCAAGTGGCTCATCAGGAGATGAGGATAAGGCAAGAAATACTAGAATAGTATAGGAACCCCTCAGTTATTGGCTTGCGAGAAGCTAATTGTAGTAGGAAGTGGAGAAGTAGAACATGCTGCTTTAATGTAAATGTTAAGTCTACTTAGACTTGTCTGCCACTTGTCTTGCCTCAGTTCACTGTATTCAGGTAGCAAGTTTTCAGTACCTACACATGATGTTCAGAGAGTCTGCCAAAAAACATAGGTGAAGATTTCTTACCAAGATGCTACAAAAATCATCAAGCCACTGAGGAACTTCTACCACACTCATTTATGTCGATTCATCCCCAAGGTTTTCATGCCACAATAATGATGCTTAATGACAATGTGTGCTATCACACACAGCAACAAGAGAGCTGACAAGATGATGATACGTGTGCATTTGACTGCAACAGCATTAGGCAGAATTTCTTCATTGTAAGAAATGTTCAACAATGGAATAGATTTGCCTTGGGGACAATGATAGACTCTCCTTTAAAACAGAGGTTAGATGAGCATCTTTCAGGAGTGCTGCAGTTGTGTATTCCTACATGGCAGAGGATTGAACTAGATGACCTTTTGGCCCCTTTCAGGGTTCTATGGTTCTAATGAAGAAATACGTATCCAAACATAGTTGTTTATAAGTCAAACTCATGGATAAGTGGAGGGCAGCTTTTGTGTTCAAAACTGTATTTTTTTATAATTCACATAAAAGGTGGAGGGTAAAATTTGGAAGCACATGAAACAAATTATCTACTGCCAAACTCCTCAAGGTTTATAGTGTAAGCTCCTATTAAACAAGATGCCAATACTCTGCTCCACCTTAAATATTCAAAAAGGCAGACGTGCCACCTTTTTCAGCTCTCCCACATTGCTGCTGGATGCAGGTCAGGCTGAAAAAAGGAAAGTAAGGAAGGAGGGCTGCCTTTCTTTACCTGGTTTGGGTGAGGAAGGGATAATGGAGTGGGAGTATTGTGTCTAGGCCCCACCACACCAAGATAGACATCTTACTTATGCCTCTTGTCATTGCCACTGCACTGTGGAAGGTTGCTTCTCTTGCTCTTCTTCCACTTGTTTATTTAGTCTGTATCCGTGCCATACAGATTTCATTGAGTTAGCACTGTTTTCATCCGTTTCCAGCCACAAACCAAGGAGAAGTCAACCCATGTTTTGGAGGCAGATTCATTTGTCATTTCTCCCCAACTTTTATGTAAGTTTATACAAGAAGCCCCAAACTTCCTATTGGTTCTCTTTTGTATCTTGGACACATTTTTACTTCATCTCCTAGCAAGTCAAAGAATCATGGAGTTGGAAGAGATCACAAGGGCCATTAGTTTTTTCCTAATGTTTAGGTGGAATTTGTTTTAAGGGTGGCTCTCGGTTTGTACCAGACAACAAAGGAGAACTTCCAAAGAGAAGAAGCCAAGTATGACTGAACACAAGAAGTCATTTAAAGCTACCAGGTTTTCAACAACAGCCTCTATAATCACGGACAGCAGATAGCGAGGAATGCTGGTTATTTGCATAAACAAGTCTGTCACCATGACTATTACTATGGCAATTGAAAATCATGTCACAATTTGGCCATCCTGACCTATCAACAGTAACAAATAAAACACTTTTAAAAATTACATCATAAAGGATGTATGGCTTAACAAACTTCCAGTACCAATAAGGTTTTGATTTCAGTCAGAAAAAGGAGAGGGGGAAAAAAAGTCTCTTTCATTTTATAAAATGTTGGGCTGCATTGCTGGATGTTGCTGCTAATCACTGGAGGCTTTTTTTTCCATGTCAGGAGCAATTTGAGAAATTGCAAGTTGCCTCTGGTGTGAGAGAAGTGGCCGTCTGCAAGGACTTTGCCCAGGGGATGCCTGGATATTTTATCATCCTTTGGGAGGCTTCTCTCATGTCCCTGCATGAGAATCTGGAGCTGATAGATGGGAGCTCACCCCGCTCCCTGGATTCAAACTGCGGACCTTTCGGTCTGCAGTCCTTCTGGCACAAGGGTTTAACCCACTGCGCAACCAGGTGGCTCTTATTATTGGAGATGAACAAAAGAAAATAAGGAAGGCAGCAATAATATGGAGACTGAGGAGACAGTGGCTGACTCAAGGCGAGGTCTTATGGGGGGGGGGGGGGTCAGTTAATGAAGTTACAAGCCATGCAGGCTATCAGCACTGCTCCATTAAAAGCTCAACACCATCCTATTAAGAAACAACGTGGCTTTTGTGTGACCTCTGGTCTTGCAATCAGTTGCCATAAACCTCTGCTTGGTATGACCACTGAACAGTTCAAGAATACTTCAAGGAGGGGCTGAACCTTGACATGCTGATCCTACTATGCTTTCAAGATTATTATATGAACATCCTGAAGAAGTTCTCAGTAGGATAAGTACACTTGCAGAAGGGATTAGTTCACTGCCACTGTTTTTTTTTTCCTGCTATGAAGGGGGACTTGTAAAACGTTGTCCATTACAGTAGATGTAAATGTTTACAAATGTGTAAGATGTTGAACTATGATGTTGTAAAATGTTGTCCATTACAGTAGATGTGGATGTTCACAAATCTGTATGATGTTGGACTAATTTCACTATTATTGGTGTGCTTTCTTTTTTCTACCCTTTTCTACCTCTTTTATCCCACTTTCATCTTTAACAAGCTGTGTTTCTTTCTTATTTACTACAGAAAGTCTGCAAAGTTCCTTCATATGGAGATTATGTGTAATGATACATCTACCATACTATTTAAAGAAAACAACAAACACGAGCCTTCCTGTATCTGGTGCTATGAAAATACAACCCGATTTGGTTTTGACTCATCAACATGGGGTGTCAAGAAGTGTTTAGTTGACTAGGAGTCTATCTAAGCTGAATGCTGATCCACCCCACCCACCTACGAGCAATGGCAGAGATCACGTTTTGGCAAGATACATGGACTTTCCAAATGTTTAAGATTGGTTCTATCATAAGATTTGTAGGATTCAGCTGAGGAAAAAGTGGGAAATGGAAAAAAATGTAATGATTCATCCCTTGTTAAGCAAGCTTGAACCAAGCTAGAAAGCAATCTTTCTATGCTGCAGAAGACATGACTGCCCATGAATTACTTTCCCTAAAGCTTGCCTTTAATTTCTAAGTGTATTAGTTACTCACTAGTTTTCCAAGTGAAACCAGTATGTATAAACCTTTATTTGACTCTGTTTTCCCCTGCTTAATGCCTTAATGCTCAAATGAACTAATTATACAGGAATGTTCAGCACATTCCATGGCCTTTTGTTACATTATTTCTAAATGGATGAAAAGAGACCGCATCCTTGTTTTCCTCAGGTAGAATAGAAATTAAAT